TTATCCAAACTCTGTAACAAAGAATGTAAAAAATAAAAAAATATATTTGAACCGGTGGATGGATCTAACATTTCAACGCGAGGCTGATGTTGCAAAGTTGCATATTAGTTTACTCCCGCGGACCCTTGGTATGTGCCCGCGCCCAGCCACGACCTGCGCGCGCATCGCTTTCCTCTTTTGTTTTTCATGTTTTTTCCTAATTCATCTTATCCAGAGAGCTTAATATCAATTGTAGATAGTTCATAGTAAGTGTTATTTTATTTTGCATTATCTGTGATAGAGAATACAGTCATGTATATACACAAATACATACAAATAAGCTTGTTTTCCCATATTCAATTTCATATGTATTTTGGCCTGGTAGCTTATCATGAATTTAAATATTTTATAGGTGGTGTTCTTATATTCTTATCAACAGTCTGTCAAGATGATAATGATAATAAAATAATGAACACATGAACCTTCTTTTTCTGAAATGACTTTAGACGTGGATTTGGGATTGGCAGGAAGATTAGGGGGGGGGAGGGGAGGGGGGGGAGACACATGGAAAAGGGAGAAGGAGAGGAAAGAGAGATAGGAGGGGGTTGAAGAGGAAAGAACGAAAATGGGAGAGAGGAAGAGGGAGAAAGAGAGAGGGGTGGAGAGGAACGAAGGAACGAAAGAGTGGAGGGGGAAGAAGAGGGATTTGAGAGGAAAACGAAAAAGGGGAGAGGAAGGGAAAGGAAGAGGGAGGACAAGAGAAGAAAGAGGGGAAGAGGAAGAACGAGAGAGGGGAGGAAGAGGGAGAAAGAGAGAAGGGTGAGGAGAAACGAAGGAGAACGAAAGAGTTGGAGGGGGAAGAGAGAGGGATTTGAAGAGGGAAAACGAAAAAGGGGAGAGAGGAAGGGAAAGGAAGAGGGAGACAAGAGAAGAAAGGGAAGAGGGAAAAGAACGAGAGGGGGGAGGAAGAGGGAGAAGAGAGAGGGAGAGAGGAAGAGTGAGAGTTTCGAGAAGAGGGAGAAAGAGAGGAGAGGGGAGAGAAGAGGGAGAGGGAGAGAAGAGAGAGAGGAAGAGAAAGAGAGAGGAGAAAGGAGAGGGAAAGAATAGAGAGCGTTGATAAAGAAGGGAAGAGAAAGAATAAGGATGGAGAAGGGTTGCGCAGAGAGAAGAGAGAGAGAGAGAGAAAGAGAGAGAGAGACAGACAGACAGAGGACCAGACAGAACAAACAAACAGACAGATAGATAGGGAGATAGATTGATAGATAAATAGACATATAGATAGATAGATATAGAGAGAGGGAGGGAGGGAGAGAAAGAAGGAAAAAATAGAAAAAGACAGAGAGAAGAAAAGAAATAAAAAAATGAGAGAGAAGATAAACTCTCTCTCTCTCTCTCTCTCTCTCTCTTCTCTCTCTCTCTCTCTCTCTTCTCCTCTCTCCCTCTCTCCCTCTCTCCCTCTCCCTCTCTCTCTCTCTCTCTCTCTCTCTCTCTCTCTCTATCTCTCTCTCTCTCTCTCTCTCTCTCTCTCTCTCTCTCTCTCTCTCTCAAAGCGAAAAAAAACAGAAGCAGATAACCCTTAATTTAACTTTTTCAGAGACAATTCCATTCACATCATGAACAGTGCATGACGGGGGGGGGGGGTGTTTAACGTTACAAAGGCCTCTTGCGCCATAAGGAAGGTGTGACGTCATGCGAGAAGTGTGACGTCATGCGGGAAGTGTGACGTCATATACCCTGATCTTTTTTTTTCCCTTCCTCTTTTTCCCGCCTTTTTTCCTTCTTGAATTGGGTCTTTTGTCTTTTGTTTTATTGTTTTTTTTATTCTTTTGTTATTTGGTTTCCTTTTACTTTCACTTTCTGTTGTTATGCTGTTTTGGGGTTTCCTTGGGTCTTTGTTGGCTTGTGTCTGTCTGTCTGTGTGGAAGGGTGGATGGATCTCTATGTCTCTGCCTCCTCTCTCTCTCTCTCTCTCTCTCTCTCTCTCTCTCTGGTCTTGCCTCTTCTCTCTCTCTCTCTCTCTCTCTCTCTCTCTCTCTCTCTTCTCTCTCTATCTCTCTCTCTCTCTCTCTTCTCTCTCTCTCTCTCTCTCTCTCTCTCTCTCTCTCTCTCTCCTTCCTCTCTCTTTCCTCTTTCCATTTATGTTGGCATCTATCTACCTACCTACCTAATTACCTCTCTACCTATCCATCCATCTATCTATAAATATATATTGTGTGTGTGTGTTGTGTGTGTTGTGTGTGTGTGTGTTGTGTGTGTGTGTGTGTGTGTGTGTGTGTGTGTGATGTTCCAATTCCATTCCGGGACTCCCTCCCTCACACACCCACCCTCCAACCCCCCTTCACCCCTATCAACCCCCCATCACCCCCCCTTCACCCCCTATCACCCCTCCCTCCCTAGATCCCCCCCCCCCCAACACTCACCCTGGCCCACGGCGTGAGTCCCAGCCCGGCCACGAGGGGGCTGCCACTGGGGCATGCCGAGGTGGGCGAGCATGAGGCGCCAGTAGGTGTTGGTGTCCTGG